TACCCCAATTTTTCTGCCCTTCTCTTAAATGTCTTATTCCTCTTCTCACTCTCTGTACCCACTCTCCTTGCCACCTCGTGGACCTCCATGTCTTTAATGACTATTTACTAGTACATGTTAAGGATTTCATGTCTCAATCTCCAGCCATAATGTTTCTTTTGACTTCCAGACCCACAGGTTCAACTGCCTAATAGACACCTTCCTCTGGGTGTCCCGCAGGAACCACAACCTCAACACATGTAAAACTCAACTACTCATCCTTTCCCAACCCAAACCTGCTCTTCCTCCTGTGGTCCCTCTCAGGGTGAAGGGCCCACAGCTAACCTGTGACTCAAGCCCAACACCTCTAAGTCACCCTTGACTTGTGTTTTCCCCGACATCACCTAGTCTTGCTGATTCTACCACCTGAATGTCTTACACGTGTCTACTCTCTTCCATCCTCTTGGTTCAGCTCCATGTCTTTGAACCTGGGTGTCCTTTTGCCTCCAATTATGTCCTCCTTACAATCCCATTCTCCACACTACAGAGTGATCTTCCTAATATGGAATCCAGACCATCTCTCCTATTTTAAAGCCCACAGTGATACCTACTGCGCTAACGAGGCACCTCATCTCTCCTATTTTAAAGCCCACAGTGATTCCTCACTGCCTTTAGGATAATGTCCGAACTCCTCTATACACATTTAAGACCCTTCCTCCTCTGGCCCCTGCTTTCCTCTCCAGCTTCCTGTCTGACCACTCACTCCAGGTTCCAACCGTGCCGAACTAATTTCAGATCCCCACGTGTGCCCCACTCTCTCTTGCCATAGTCTTCATGGATCTAAGGGAAATACACTCAGAGATTTGTTGTTGGTTGAATGGGAGGTAGACAGCAGGATTCTGAGAAGGCCTTTTGCAAATCTGTCCCTAACGAAAGTGATAAGAAAAGAATAAGTGAATATGGGAACATAGCTATTGAGGCTTTAAAGGGGACACCTGAATGGCTTCGGTTATTGAAACCAAGGCAAAAACCTAGCGGGATCATTCATTTCAACAATGAATAAAGTAAAAACCTTGAGCAACAGAGGATTTAATATGTTTGAAGTAGAAATGATATCTAATAACTCCAGTGATGTAATTAATTTGTAATATAGCTGAACAAAGGCCCAAAGTGGAAAAATAATCCCTAGGGTTCTCTCATGAACCCAATACAACATTTGGAGTACTTTTGCTCTCATAATAACTAAACCAAGAACAATACTAATTTTTAAATCTACCGATTAATCAAATAACATTGACTCTATACAAATAAACCTAAAAATCAGCCTAGTCACACTTTCAGTTTCCACGTCCCCTGGTAATGTCCTACCGCTGGCCTCATGAACTCCGCACCCTCTGCCTAGAACACATACTCTCCGTGAAGCCTTGTTCAAGTAATTTAGCTTCTCCGTTTTCTCATCTGTAAAAATGGGGATTTAAAAGAAAATAGCAGTACCCACTTTATGGGTTGCAAGGACTAAATGAGTCAATACTTGTCAAGCCTGAGGGCAGCGCCTGCCACAGAATCCGTTTCGACATTTACTGACAAGCTGCCATTATGATGATTTTGTTGTTATTGTTATCGTTGTGTTTGTTATTCTCCTCTTCCTTTCTGCTCACCTTCTTAAGTCTCACTCCTTCTCCTGTTGTGAAATCAAGGATCAGGCATGGAGCAGGTGCTCCTCCCAGCAGCCCTCCCGAGCGGGCATCCACAGCTTCCTTTCCCAGGGGTGGGAGAGGGAGGCTCACAAGATGCAGGGCTTCACCCTGGGTCACAGGCTGGGGATTGGCTCCAGGTCCGGCCCACTCTGCAGCCTGAGTTCTGCCTCCTGCACAGTCTCCTGCCGTCTCTGTTCTCATTCCCCAGCTCTCTGTCTGCAGCCTGTATCTACAGCTTCTCCATGCCTGGCTCCTCCTAAGTGAGTCTTACCTACTCTCCTTCCTTCTCAACTTGCTTCTCTTCCTATGAGCCTCTTTTAGTGACTGGGCCCACCGTTCACCCATACCTTAGGCCTGAATACTGGGCCTCATTCTAGACTCCTCCTCCTATTGGTCCCCAGGGCCTACTGATTGTATTCCCTAAGCATTTCTGAACCAAGTTTTGTTTTAAGACTCATCTGTCTCACCTGGATGACCTAGTCAGCTTCTTTCCAAATGGTCCTTCAGTCTCTGGTCTCCTCCCAGGCTGCCAAAGGACCTGTCCACCATGTCAATCAGAGCAGGTCTTGCTCCTGCTTAAAACTGGCCAATGGCTCACTGCTGTCTAATTAGTTCTGAGAAAGGCCCCAAGAAAAACTCTGCAAAACAGGGTTCTGTGGCCAAAATGTGTGGGAAATGCAGCTCTCTCTGTCCTCATCTTGGAATGGCACTTGGCTCAGGAGCATCACAGAGGGTGCAAGAAGCCCTACAGTAAAGAAACTTGTTTAGTCCTAGCTGGTTTGGCTCAGTGACTAGAGCAGTGGTTCTCAACCTTCCTAATGCTGCGACCCTTTAAAAGAGTTCCTCATGTTGTGGTGACCCCCAACCATAAAATTATTTTCGTTGCTACTTCATAACGGTAATTTTGCTACTGTCACGAATCGTAATGTAAATATCTGATATGCAGGATGTATTTTCATTGTTACAAATTGAACATAATTAAAGCATAGTGATTAATCACAAAAACAATATGTAATTATATATGTGTTTTCCGATGGTCTTAGGCGACCCCTGTGAAAGGGTCGTTCAACCCCCAAAGGGGTCGTGACCCACAGGTTGAGAACCGCTGGACTAGGGCGTTGGCCTGCACACTGAACGGTCCCAGGTTTGATTCCAGTCAAGAGTACGGGTTCAGTCCCCAATTGAGGGTGTGCAGGAGGCAGCTGATCAATGATTCTCTCTCATCATTGATGTTTCTATCTCTCAATCCCTTTCCCTTCCTCTCTGAAATCAATAAAATATATTTTTAAAAAAATAATAAAGAGAAGTGATATTTTAAAAAAAGAAAAAGAGTCTTGTTTAGAGTGTTGGACCCAGGGGTTCTCAGTCTTACCTGCTGCAGTGGCCCCCTGTGATCACTTAGGGTAGTGGTTCCCAACGTGGAGCACATGCCCCACAGGGGGGCAATTTGACTTTTAAGGGGGGGAATTCGAGAATGAGTTATTACAGTGAATTTTTTGCATTTCTTATGGTTCTAGGGGCCTCATATACAGTATATAAACATATATTGTGACATATTTATGCATTTCAGTTCTCTATTATATGTTTTGAAACTTTATTTGCTACTTTTTCATATCACTTCATGTTATTATTATTTTTTTTTAACAATTTCTTCCTCAGTACTGCAACTGTCCTTTTATTCTTTTCTTTTTCATGGATGCCATGTTCTTTGAAAGCTTGTTGAGATGAAGTTAATGGCCTTTTAGGCTTCCTCCATGTGAATAGGAGTTCACTTTTTGAATAATAAGAATTATATGTCACGGGGCGAGGGGCATCAGGATTTTAGAGATGCTCAGGTGGGGCATGGCCAAAAAAGATTGGGAACCACTGATTTCGGGAAATCATGTTCCAAGGAATACTCTTTGGGAAACATTGCCTGGCAGGATCAAGTGCAAGTTCCTTAGCATGATTTAAAAGTCCCTTTAAGGTGGGATTCCTTATCTTTCACCACTCCCCTCCCCCATCCCTCCTGCGCCCAAATTATCTGCTATTCCCCTTGGGTTGTTTTATACCTCTGTATTCCTGCTCCTAGAAGGCCCTTGCCTCTACTTCCTAACGGACAAATGCACTCATTCTCCAAGAGTTGGCCCAAATGGCACCCCCTATGCAACTCCTTCTCGCTCTTCTTTTGGGTCCACTCTTGCTTGGTCTGGTGGCTGACAGCATTGGCCTGTTTGCGGGTCTGTCTGTGCCACTGCAAGATCAGGGCACAGTGGCTCGGCGTCTTTGCCTCCACATCCCCAGCCCTCACACTGCATTTGGCACCTGGGAGGGGCTCATTAAGTATTGGTTGAACAAGTGGATGAGGAAACAAGATCAAAGGTATGCGGGGCTGGAGATCACACTACCTCAAAGGATGGTTCTAAGCCAGGGTTGCTCAACCTCAGCACCACTGACAGTTTGAACCAGATAATTTGTGTGGGGGCTGCCTCGTGCACTGCGGGCTGTTTACTGGCATCTATGGCCTCCCTTAGAGGCCAGTAGTAACCCCCCTCTCCAGTGTAACAATAAAAAGTGTCTCTAGCCTGGCCGGTGTGGCTCAGAGGTTGAGCGTCAACCCATGAACCAAGAGGCCCCTGGTTTGATTCCCTGGTAGGTCACATGCCTGGGTTGTGGGCTCAATCCCCAGTACAGGGCATGCAGGAGGCAGCCGATCGATGTTTGGCTCTCATCCATGTTTCTATCTCTCTATCCCTCTCCCTTCCTCTCTCTCTAAAATCAATAAAAACATATTTTTGGGGGGAGGGGGGGGAGTCTCTAGACATTGCCAAATGTCCCCTGGGGAGCACTATTGCCTCTGGTTGAAACTACTGTTCTAGACATAGATTATTCTAGGTGTCTTCTTGTCTCTGGGCAGGTGATGTTTTTCTCAGATAGTTTAGCCCATTATCCTTCTTGTCTTAAAACTTTCTCAAGGATAAGAAGGCTTCTTCCTCTGGAGAGGGTAGGGGTAAGTTCCAGGCAGGGTGCAGCTTCAGTAGCTTCTCTGGGGATGGCGAAGCGAGCCTGGTGGGTGAGCTTGTGTTGTGCCTGGAGCTATGGTGGCATTTAGAATGGATGGGCGCTCTTGCTCCAGGAGTCTGTGCTTGTTCCCTTGAGAGAGGATCCTGGCGAGTTCAGAAAGCAATCTTGCAGAGAGCTGCCAGCCTGGCCTGTGCTTTCTGAGAAACACACTCTTTCTGTAGGAGAAAAGTCCAGTCCATTCGCTTCCCATCCTCGTGGGAGCCTGGGAAGGATTGCGCTCTCCCCTACAGCCACCTTCTCACCCTTGTTCCACCTTTGCAGTCAGTGCCGAGGGGAGCCAGGCCTGCGCCAAAGGCTGTGAGCTCTGCTCTGAGGTCAACGGCTGCCTCAAGTGCTCACCCAAGCTGTTCATCCTGCTGGAGAGGAACGACATCCGCCAGGTGGGCGTCTGCTTGCCGTCCTGCCCGCCTGGATACTTCGATGCCCGCAACCCCGACATGAACAAGTGCATCAGTGAGTGTGGGCAGGGCTGGAGACGGGCACAGAGACGCCGGACACTGCGGGAGGGTACTCTGAACTGTTGGTGGCCAGCAAGAGGAGGAGGGGGGACTCTGAGATGAGGGGAGATGAGGCTTCTGATTCAAGTATCTGGTTACTGGTCAGACATCTCCCCCGATATCCCTTCCACATTTCCAACTCAGTGCGTCTGTATCAGAACTGCATCTCCTCCCTCCAAACCTGCACCCACCTGTATTCCCACAGGCCACTCTGTGTCTCAATCCATCACCCAAGCCATAGACCTGAGAGCCAACCTCACATTGGGCTATTCCCCATCCATCCAATAACTGAATCATGCGTGCTTCATATCTTTTCGTGTGTGTGTGTGTGTGTGTGTGTGTGTGTGTGTATTGATTTTAGAGAGAGAGGATGGGAGAGGGAGAGGGAGAAATAGAAACATCAGTGCATCAACATTGATTGGCTGCCTCCTGCATGCCCCCTGCTGGGGATCGAGCCCGCAACCCAGGCATGTGCCTTGACTAGGAATGGAACCAGAGACCCCTTGGTACATGGGATGATGCTCAATCACTGAGCTGGGCTTCATCTTCTTTCTGTCCTCACTGCCGTTGTCTAACCCAGGCCCCCGTCATCTCTCTCCTGGACTATTGCAATAGCCTGTTCTGCCCTCCAACTCTCATCTGGTTCCCTTCTACCTGCCTCCACACTGCAGCCAGAAAGATGCCTCTGAGACACACAGCCTATTCCATCACACTTCTGCTTAAAAACCGCCACTGGCTCTACTGGCTGCAGAGAAATTCAAGCCCCGGTCAGCCTGCGTCCCCCTCCTCCTCCCCCTGGTCTCCTCACTCTTCAACTTTCTCCCACGCCAGCCACAGTTCCCAGGCACCTGCTGTCACCCCTGCATCCATCCCGGCTGTGACATGCTGGGGGTACGCGGTGAACACACTCCAGTGAACAAAACCAATGCCCCTCCCGTGTGTTCAGTGCGTTGGAGCTTAGAATGCGTTTCTGGATCTCATATCAGTTGAGTCCGCGACACCCCCTGGAGGGAGACAGGATCTAGGTGACGCTACCTTTTTATAGCTGATAACAGCGAGGCTGGAAGGGACACGACTGACCCCAGATCAGCCGGCTGGGGTTGTCCTCTCAGCTCTGCTACTAGTTCACTGTGTGACTTTGGGCGGGTCGTAACCTCTCCAAGATCTCATATTTTAAATGGGAGTACTCGCTTTTACCTCTGGGTTGTTGTGGGAGGCATATGTAAAGCCCTTCAAGTCTGGCCTTCAATACACGGTGGCTGTTATTGTTCTTACTGTGTTCCACCTGCAGCCAAACCCAGGCATCAGAGCGAGAGAGGAGGAGGGAGGGAGGGAAGCTGAGACAAAGCCACAGAGGCTAGGAGACACAGAGGAGGGTGCAGTGGGCGTGGGGAGCTGGTGAGGTTGGAGGTAGGACCCTGGGGCTGCCCTCTGGGTCCTCAGGGTGTTTGGGGTGGGGAGTTCCTGGCTGTGCCAGCTCCTGGGAAACTGGCAGCCCGGGCTCCAGGTGCCAGAGACGGGGAGGAAGTTAGCCCTGCCCACAATCTGGGAAGGGAGAGATTGTGAAAGACCCTGCCTGCTCCTTCAGCCCTGAACCCACCCTCCCCCCTCGTCCCCAGAGGAGGGAGAGCTGGCAGGAGGGGATGGGGAGGGACCCAGGAGTCCAACCAAGGCGGTTCCTGGAACTTGCCTTGTGGAGGGAGAGGAATTTGCCCTGGGATGGCTTCCCTCCTCCAAACCCATTCTTTCTGCCCCAGGCAGGAGGAGATCCGGGGTTTGGGTCTGTGGATGCCCAGCTGTGGGGGAAGAGGAGACCACACAGCCACGGTCAGGGGGTCACTGTATCCCTCAGTCCAGCTCTGACAAGGTGGCCCTTTGGGGTTCCATGAGATGCTGGGATCCTCCTCTCTCACCCCCACTAGTCCCCGGGGGTCCTCCCCCCTCCTCTGAAACTGGCTCTCTTGGACCTTACCTTGGGCTCCAGGGCCTGGAATTGAGTTTGGGTTGGGATTAGCTGACCCCGGTGAGTCCCAGCCAGCCCAGAGAGTGACACTTTGGCCCTTTCTCCCCCGCCCTGTCCTGCTCTCAGTGTGGGTGGGCCGGCACGGTGGGTGTTGGGATGGGGATGAGGGGAGGCTGAGCCAGAGGCCCCCACTCTGGTCCTCTCCTCAGAATGCAAGATTGAGCACTGCGAGGCCTGTTTCAGCCACAACTTCTGCACCAAGTGTAAGGAGAGCCTGTACCTGCACAAGGGCCGCTGCTACCCGGCCTGCCCCGAGGGCTCCGCAGCTGCCAACGGCACCATGGAGTGCAGCAGTCCTGGTACGCACGTGGGCACTGCGGGCAGAGGGTCCAGGACCCCCGGAGGAGGGCGGGCCAGGGAGAGTGTGGCTGAGGCACTGCCCAGAGAAAGCTCACCCACGACCACCCTCTGGGGCTTCTCTCAGGACTCTCCTGACCTCTGGGCCGAGCCCCAGGTAGAGAGCAGATGGGAAAGCTCCCCTGGGGTACTCTGTGACCCTCCTTTTCTCTCTCTCCTCTCCCTTCCTGTCAGCACAATGTGAAATGAGCGAGTGGTCCCTGTGGGGGCCGTGCACCAAGAGGAAGAAGCTCTGTGGTTTCCGGAGGGGCTCTGAGGAGCGGACGCGAAGGGTGCTCCATGCGCCTGGGGGCGACCATGCCATCTGCTCCGACACCAAAGAGATCCGGAGGTGCACAGTGCGGAGGACGCCCTGTCCTGAGGGTGAGCTGCAGCCTCCGCCTCCGCCTCCCCGGAGTCGGGGGCCAGGCCCAACCGCAGAGATGGGACCACCTCTGCTCCCTGCCTGTTGCCCAGAAGAGGGTCTCAGGCCAGGCCAAATGGGGCAGCCCCAACTCAAGAGCCCATGCCGTGCAAACCGGTGCCAGGCCTGGCCGAGACCCAGAACTCTGTGTGGTGGGAGCTGGAAACTTCCGTGTGGAGATCCTTTCAGTGTCTCCATTTCTCCTGAGCCAGCAGATGCGGGCACTGGGAGGGCCCTGCGAGGTCAGATAGGGCATGGAAGGGGGTGTGGTGATTCAAAACATTTTTTAACATGTTTTTATTGATTTAGAGAGAGAAAGGGAGAGTGAGTGAGAGACAGAAACATCAATGATAAGAGAGTCGTTGCTCGGCCGCTCCTGCACGCCCCACACTGTGGATTGAGTCCACAACCCGGGCGTGTGCTCTGGCCGGGAATCGAACCTTGACCTCCTGGTTCATAGGTCGACCCTCAATCACTGAGCCACACCGGCCTGGGAATGGTGGTGGAGGGGGCTAGTGATTTGATCAAGGTCACTGAGCCTGCAGTTGGCAATGATGTGGTGGCTGACCCCAGAGGAGGCGGGGCCATCCTGCGGGTCCTGAAAACTGCACTGAACCTATCGGCCCATTGGGATCCCAGGCCTGAGGAAGGCATGAGGAGGAGGAGGAGGGTGTGCGGTTTGTCCAGGGGTGGAGGATGAAAAGGCTCTTGGGACCCCTCTCAGTGCCCATGTCGCAGGGTCCTCTGAAGTGGCTGATGGTCAGAGGAGGCCTTCAGGGCGCCTGGCTGCCTAAAGGCAGCGATCCCAGCCTCCCCCCTGTCGCCCCTGCCCAGCTTCCTCATCACTCCCCTCCTGGGGCCCATGGCCATGCCTGGGGCCTCCCTGCTGTGGCAAGATGTCCTGTGTTGAGTCTTCCTACTGTTGGGTTGCAGGGCAGAAGAGGAGGAAGGGAGGCCAGGGCCGGAGGGAAAAGGCCAACAGGAACCCGAGCAGGAAGGAGAGCAAGGAGGCAGGCACTGGCTCTCGGAGACGCAAGGGCCAGCAGCAGCCGCAGCAGCAGCAGCAAGGGACAGTGGGGCCGCTCACATCTGCCGGGCCCACCTAGGGACCCTCCTCAGCCTCGAGGCCCGTGCAGAAAGAGGGACGGAAGCTTTACTGAACTGGAGCCCTGGAGGGCAACATGGACACACACTGCACACGTACATGGACACACACACACAGCGACCCCCATGTCCAAACATGGAATCAACAAACATGCAAACGTGTGTGTGCACACACACACACACACACATAAACACACATACACACTCGAGGCGACCGGAAGACACTTCTATGCCTTGGACATCATGATATGAACAGGGCAGGGAGGTGGACGGGTCATCTCTGCCAGGAAGAGGCCCCGGCAGCACACACTTGGTTTGTGATGCTCCCTGTGGACACGACGGAGAGAACATTTCCCGGCGTCCAGGTGCAGCCTTTGCCGAGGGGAGCCTTCGGGAGGAGCCGGAGCACCAGCCCCCTGTGGCAGACAGGAGCCGAAGCGTGAGGACTGTTCTGCATTTCCAGCGGTGTGACCTGATCGTTGTTACCCATCCATGATCTACATCAGGGCTGCCCGGACTCTGAAAACTGCTTAAAGGTTTATTTCCAATTAAAAACAAAAGCTAAATGACCACAGCGGCCCCAGGCACCACATTCTTTTTCAGGGTACAGGTTTTGGTGGGGCACGTATGGGAGCAGGAAGAGTCAGGGCTGAATTTTAAGAGACCCCTCTGGCCCCCTGGGCAGAGCAGGAAGAAAACTTTGGGGATACTCATGGCGGAGCCAGCTTTTCAATCCTTGTTTCCCAGAGTGCGGTCTGTGGACCAGCATTGACGGCATCACTGGGCAGCTTGTTAGAGATGAGAATCTCGGGTCCCGTCCCAGACCCAACGAGCCAGTGTGTGCATTTTAACGAGGCTCCAGGTGACTGGCGTGCACAGTCAAGTTTGAGAAACTCTAATTACCTGTAAGGATGGCAGGATGCTGGTCAGCCATAGAGGAGGACTCTCTGTCCGGGAGAGGTGCCATCTCTATCCCGAAGGGCCATAGTGGAACTCCTAGGCCAGGGGTGCTCAGGCTCTCTGAGACGGCTGGGGACCGTGGACCCAGAGGAAGGACAGCGGGTGGAAGACATCTTGTGGTATTTGGAAGTGTCCACTGGTGGCCACTCATGCACCAGGCTCTGGACTAAGTGCTTGCTTTCAGGAGGGGAACCAGACATGGCCCTTATGGAGCTTAGAGGTTGGTGAGGGTGACAGAGGTGAATCTAGTAATTATTCAAATAAATGTATCATTACAATGGGGCGGAGTTAAGGGGAGGCAACCACGGGCACATACACATAGCTATGAAAGTGAATAAATATAGACTTGGTCTCAGGGGAGCTTTTCTGAGGAGGTGATATTTGAGCCAAGCTCAGGACGAGTAGAGGCGTTAAGACGAAGAGAAGAAACGGCATTCTAGACCAGTGCCGTCCAATAGAAATACAATATGAACCAGTTATGTAATTTACATTTTTCTAGTAGCCACATTTAAAGAGAAAGAAGAAACAGGTGAGATTAATTTTGATTATATCTTATTCAATGAAATATATGCAAAATATCTTTTTAACATGGAATCAATACAAAAAAACTATTAATGAGATCTTTTACATTTTTTTTTTCGAACTGAGTCTTTGACACGGATTTTTTACACTGAATTTTCTCCAGAAATAGCTTACCTAGATTTAAATTTCATAAAAATTAAAATTGAAAAGTGAATTCACATACTCAGGTTGTTTCAAGAATAGTTGTTTGCCAATATTTAATGTTTTTTCAATTTAATTGATTCAGTTTTTCATTTGCACAAGCCATGCTTCAAGTGCTGACCAGACACATGTAGCTAGTGGTTTCTGTATTGGACAGCAGAGTTCTATATAGAGGGCACAGCACATGCAAATGTCCTGCAGTAAAATGGAGCTTGGTGTTACAGGAATTAAAAGAAGGCCAATATAGCTAGAAGGCCTAGAGGGCAAGTGAAAAGTGAGATCATCTCAGAAAGGTCATGGGTGGGGATGGTGCGGGGGGGAGGGGTAGAAGGACAGGGAGAAAGGTTACCCGGAGTTGGGTCTTTATTCTCAGAGCCAGGGCAGCTGCTGAAGGGTTTTTTAAATTGCAGGCCAATGCCATGACGAGATCTGTATGTTGCCAAGATCCTGTTGGCTGTAGTGTAGAAGACAGCCTGGAGAGAAGCTGCTTGGGGTTTGGAATAGGTTGACTAAAAAATGTACCAGGTGATGAGAGAGCTCAGGTCTTCAAGTATGAAGGTCAGATCATGGAGACTTGGTGGGAAAAAGTCAGAGGAGCAGGCAATAGGGAAACCAGGGGAATATCCTGTCCTGGAAGCCAGCAAGCAGAAGGGGAGATCAGGAGGACCAAAGGCTGCTAAGATAGCAAGTAAACAGGACTGGAAATTGACCTGGAAATTGATCTTTGGGCTTACAACATGTACCTTCACAAGAGGTCGAAATCAGTGCACACAATTCCTTCAGGAAGTTTAGCTGAGGAAAGGAGAGAAATAAGACGGACTACAAAGAGACAGGAGATCACGAGAGAGTTTTGTTGTTTTGGGGTTTTTTGTTTTTGTTTTTTTAGGTGGAAAGACTTAAAAATGTTTAAAACCTTCTGGGAAGGATCCAGTTAAGAGAATAAATACACAGGAAAGACAAGGGGAATCAGTAATGGAAGGCTCCAGGCGAGGGAGGGACAGCTCTATAGGAGCAGGAGAGCATGGTATAGGTGTGAGAGGTTTGGAAGGTGGGCATCTCCGGTCTGCATATCTGAAACCCCGCGGGGTCATCCCTCCCATACCTATGAGCCCGTCCCTCCCGTACCTGTGAGCCCCTTCACTGCTAGTCAGGAGCCTGGGTGATCACGGGCTACCCATGGCCAGCTCTGGCCTCTCCCCCAGCTCCTCGCCTTGCCTTCCTTCCCTGACCCTGGCTCTGTCTTTGCCAGGCTCTCTGGCCCTGTCGGTCTTCCATCTCTGGTCTGGTTCTCTCTGCCTTTGCCCTCTGTTTCTCGGACTGTCCCCTTCTCTGTCTCTCTTTTCATCACCCTGTCTTTCTCTGTTCCCACCTCAGCCTCTGATTCTACGTGTATGTGCCATTGTTTGTCTCTGTTTCTCTGTCTCTCTTCTGGGTATCAGTCATCAATCCCTGTGTGTCTTGGCTGTCTCTGGCTCTGATTTGCCCCAATCTGCCAGATCCTTAGGTCCTCGCTACTCAGAGTAACGTCATGGGGGTGTGGGGGGGCGGGGGGCAGGGAGGCTTGTTTGAAATGTAGAATCTCAGGGTCCTCCCAGACCGAATGAATCTGAACCTGCCTTGTAACAGATTATCACCCAGGTAATTTCTGTGCATGTTTAAAATATATATATATATATATTATATATAAATTTATATATATAACTATATATATAATTATATATAAACATATATATAATTATATATATTATAATTTATATATATTATATATATTTTTGTGTATATATAGATATTTTTTTATTTCAAAGAGGAAGGGAGAGGGAGAGAGAAATAGGAACATCAATGATAACAGAGAATCACTGATCAGCTGTCTCCTGCACATCCCCCACTGGGGATCAAGCCCGAAACTGGGGCATGTGCCCTAACGGGGAATCAAACTGTGACGTTTGGTTTGTAGGTCAACGCTCAACTACTGAACCATGCCAGCCGGGCTCCTGTGCATGTTAAACGTTGGTGAAGCATCACCTTAAGCTTTCCTCTAAAACAGCATCAAAACAAAAATCCAGAATCTTACCAACATGGGATGTATCTGCTGCATCACCTTGGGGATGCTCTGAGGCATTCGGCTTCTCTGCATCACCCCCTTGAGCCTCCCGAAGCTGCTCCTGAAACTCTAGGCAGCGAAGGGAGGGGACATCGTGAGCTTCGCATCTGCAAAAATGCTGGTGGGAGGGAATTCTCCTGATACTGATGCGTTGGGTGCCCCTGAAAACAGCCCTACCTGGACCTACTCCTCTCTGTCTCACTCTGCGCTTTCAAGAGTAAGCATAATTTTTTTCCAAGCCGGAGTTGGGGTGTGAGTTTCAAGACGTGGGCAGTTACCTGCTCATAGCCCTAGAAGCAGCCCCCCCTGAGGCCAGAGACCATAAGGATTGACCAGAAGTTACACGTGATTTTCAGAGTGAGTGGGGTGCTGGAGAGAGGGAGTCATGCCACGATTCCTAACCCTGCTCCCAAGAGTTAGGCAACACTAGCCTGTGATTTGTTTGTGACTGTTATCTGCCCACAGGTTCATTTGGAAAATGTGAGCCTTCTCCTCTACAGCAGTGGTTCTCAACCTTCCTAATGCCGCGACCCTTTAATACAGTTCCTCATGTTGTGGTGACCCCCAACCATAAAATTATTTTCATTGCTACTTCATAACTGTAATTTTGCTACTGTTATGAATCGTAATGTAAATATCTGATATGCAGGATGTATTTTCATTGTTCGCGACCCACAGGTTGAGAACCGCTGCGGGTCCCAGGCTTGTCCAGATTAACACGTTTCTTGGCCACCTGACCCAGTGTCAGCTCGGTATGTTTCAGACCAAGTCTCCAGAGAAAGGGTTTGTTTTCCATTTCAATATTTTGGGTGATGGGGTTGCGTTGTCTGGGTTTTGTTTTTTTAAGTATTTCTCTCTCTCCTCCCCCCGCCCCCGTTTGGTCTGGTTTAGAAGGGCTAAGAGGGGATTTAGGAAAAGGGTCAGCTTCCTAGGCCCCGAATCAGGTCCCTGACCCAGAGCCGGTCACCTAAGTGAATGACTTTTTTTGCCCCTGACACTTCCAGCTGTGGTCCAGACCAGACTGTAACAGACAACAGGTGGGAACCTTGCTGAAAGATGGTAAAGAAGGAAAAGTAAACCAGAGAGAACAGGTTCCATTTTCCAAGGTTGAGTGGGTTCATTGCAAAGGGCCTGGAGGACTGTCCGGCCAGGAAAAGTGAGTGAGAACAAAAGCCTTATTGTAGGGAAGTCGAGATCTGAAGATCAGATGCCTCAGGGGTTGCTGAGACTGAACACCAGAGTTGGGTGAACCTGTTTGGGTCAACCTCCTGGCTCTCCCAAGAGAAAGAGCCAAGAGGCAACGGAGGATAAAGAATCAACAGGTTTTGGCTGGAGGTTTTGTAGAGGCTCCTTCAGCTTCACATAGACCTGAGATGAGCAGCTGCTGATGGGGTGGTGGGACTGCCACTACCTGGGCCCCTTGGTCTAGTATCACTAGCCTACCAGGTTGGTGGTGAGGGGAAGAGAGCCAGGTCAATGGCTGGAGAAGGTGGCTTGGGTCCTACCCTAGAGCCTTCCAGAACTTAAGTAGGAAATTGCGAAACAGGGCTACATTTTAGAAGAGAAAGTATGTGAAATATGGTTCCTCCCTTGCCTGTCCGCTCTCCCGGAGCCTGGTGAGGGGAGGTCAGTGAGATGGGTTCCTGGCTGGGCTCAGTCTGGTGTGAGAACAAGGGCAGAGCCAACCCCCCAAAGGACCCCCAGGCCTGCCGCAGCAGCTGCCAGCCTTT